TTTCTTACGTAAGAAACCTCTTCTCGTTATAAGGAAACTGTGTGCAAAAGATTGCTGCAAATTTGCTATTTGATATCTGTCGTGTTCAACGCCTGTCACAAAATGACCTCAGTAATAGATTACTTTCATTCGTTATTCCGTGCAAATCCAGAAGCATTTTCGATAATCGTTGCGCGTAACCTTTACCTTTCCGTATATATTTTAGATATGATTGACGAAAAATTTTTGAATCACCTTCTTGACATAGTGGAAAACACGAGGGACGAAGAAGACGAGACGTTCAACTATTCCATCATCCGCCTTCTTGTAAGAGTTATTCGATTCCGAATATAAAAATTTTGTTCAATAATATGTTGTTAAATTGGATTCTTTTTTCTAACAGCTATCATTCAATGAGCAATTCATGTTAGCCGCGATGGCTCACCAAGCGATATATCCGGATGATGATGACGATGATTGGAATCACAACACATTGCTAAGAGTGCTGTCGATGAGAATTGGTACCAGCAAAACGTTTGGTGAAAATGTGATATTCATGCTAAATCGAGCAGGTGGATAAATATTTCGATTTTTACTTGCTCAGTGATCGCAATCCATTTATTCATTCATTCATTAACTAAGATTCTTTAACTTAAAAATAGTGGAACCACACCTCCAAATGCTTATATTGAAATTGTTATATGAGATATTTATTACACCCGAAACATACGAATATTTTTACACAAACGACTTGCACGTATTGATTGATGTGTTCATTCGAGAATTATGTGATTTGCCCGAGGAAAGCGAGGCGGTAAGTAAATTCGGTACTCGTTTACTACATGAAAAATACATGTTAATTCAAAATTTCCACGGTTTAGCTTCGACACACGTATCTCCGAGTACTATACCCCCTTCTCGCCAACACACAGCTAAACCAGTATCGGTATAAACAGCATCACATATATAATTTATTATTAGATTTAATTGGATCCTCGACCAACCAATTTAAGCCCGTATCACCCACTACCCAAAGATTAGTAGATAGATGTTTATTATCGGAATATTTTGATGGCATTGCACCTCCCAAGCGTGGCGATGGAATCAAACGTGTTTCCTCATCAACTTCTGTTATGTTTCCTATGAATACCCATGGAACTTCAACATCAAAGTCTATCATATTTCCAATTAACACCAATGGAAATGTCACAGGAAATAATGACAACGGCATGAATCCACAAGGAAAATATCTTCGTACGACGACAATTTAGATTAAATCTTTAGACAGTTATGAACTAGAAATTCCCACCTCGAGATATATATATATATATATAAAAAAAAAAATTTTACATTAAATATCAAATAACAGAATTAAATCCTCAATTAAGTAAATACATTTGGAACATTCTCATATATGATAGGTTAGTTAAAGTCACTCACGAGAAATGCGTAAGTAGACTAATTTTTTCAGTATTTTTGCGAATATCTCACTAGTATTAATAATCATAATAATCATAATGGTAATAATTTTACACGAGCTTTCATACAAAATTTAGCTTCCAGTCTTAAAAAATAGTTTGGAATATTAGAAACCAATTTATTGACGGTCAAATATAAATAATAAAACAAATTTGCATTTCATCATGCTATAGCAATAATTTAACGCGTTACAAACGTCCAAATTGCACGACGCGCGCAAAACAACTTTATAAAAGGCTAACTTTTTGTCACCCAATTGAACTCGCATTCCTCGATTAGTGAAACCGTTCGGATCTTTCAGTATTTGTGATACCTACGATTTCATAATTCGATCAACAGATATCTAGAAATTTTTTATATAAAAGATGACTACTAAAGAAGACGTAATTAGCAGCGACACTGCTGAAAAAGTCTCAAAATATGTGAGACCAATAGAAGGAAAGCTGGGTCCTAAACAACTAAAGGCATGTGGTTCCTTACTGATTATTTAATTATTTCACATTCATTTCAAATCTTGGTGGATCCTAACCTTATAAAAAACAACATTTCAGAAAATAAAAAACAAAAAGCTAAAAAGTACGCTTGAACGAGTTGAGAAACGTAATCAAGAAGCAGCACGTAAAGCGGCAAGCTATGAATTATTGCTTGTGGAAGAGCCCGGGTATGTGAATTTATGTTTGATCATAATCCAAATTAACTCTTTTTGAAGTTAGGGCAAGCTAACCTTTTTGAGTTGTTCATTGAAGATATTTGGAGGCTGAAGGAATAGAAAAGACATACAACATAACGCAAAAGAATTTGAAAGAAAGTGTAGACGAGGCTACCGCCACAAAGGTTGGTGACCCTTTACTTATGATTCATTTTTATAGTAATTCTTGTAGTTAATGTTATGTTATCATTCGTGATTAAACAGATATTTAATCTTGATTTAAAAACTTTCGGACCATATTCATTGGATTACACTCGTAATGGACGGTAATTCCTCTTTTTTGATAGCAAATCCATGGCTTTGGGTACAACTTGATTGAAAATTACTGCTTTTCAAATTGAAGGAATATGTTGATAGGAGGACATAAAGGTCATTTGGCAACTTTTGATTGGCAGGCAAACAAAAGGAATTGTGAAATTCATGTTAAAGAGACGACTCGAGATGTGAAGTAAGAATTTACCATTTTTACTATTTGACTGCTTTCATTAGCCTTTTGTTTAAATTTAACATTTCTCGTTCTTTTTTTATTTTGACTTATTATTCACATCACATCAGATGGCTGCACAATGAACTTTTCTTTGCTGCCGCACAAAAAAAGTATGTATTTATATATGATCACAACGGACTTGAAGTGCACCGACTAAAGAAACACATCGAAGTGAATAAACTCGAATTTTTACCATATCATTTTTTGTTGGTTTCTGTGGTAATTATTATTTTTTTTTATTTTCTTTCCCTTTTTTTTCTCATCACAATGTTTTATTTATGATCGGTGAAATGCAATTTTAGGGAAACGCCGGATGGCTAAAATATCAAGACACCTCCACTGGGAAATTGGTATCCGAGTGCAGAACAAAGCTGGGTCAATGCGATGTGATGACTCAAAATCCGTGGAATGCAATAATTAATTTGGGACATATTAATGGTATTTATTTTTATTTTATCACGAGTGGTCTAATCGGTGAAGGAAGGCAAACACGATTATACCGGCATTTATTACATATAGGCACAGTCACTCTATGGTCTCCAAATATGTCGACACCTTTGGTTAAGATGCTGACGCATCGAGGCCCAGTTAAAGCGCTCGCGGTAGATCATACAGGAACGTGAGTAATTTTCCGAAATATTTTATTGAAGATTTATCCGAATACACTTAATTTCATTGATATGAAATATTTGTAGCTACATGGCATCTGCCGGCCTGGACGGTCGTTTGAAATTGTGGGACATACGAACTTACAAATGTCTTCAGGAGTATTTTACTCGAACACCCGCCTGTTCATTATCCATATCGCAGCTAGGTCTTTTGGGTGTTGGATGGGGGCCTCACGTTACTGTAAGTGTTTTGATCTTATTTGTTAAAATGGCAGCTTGGTCTTGTTTCATATAACTTATTAGGCTGATTTTATTACTCGAATATTAACCAAAAGCTTCAATGTTAAAGGTTTGGAGGGATGCCTTTAAAACAAAGCAGAAATCACCGTATATGAATCATCTGCAACCGGGAGCCCAGATACGGGACATTCACTTTTGTCCATATGAAGATGTTCTTGGTTTTGGTCATTCTGACGGTATTTCGAGTATATTAATTCCAGGTGTGTTCATATGTCAACGAAAACAAGGGAATCGTAATATATTATTAAGTCTTATCCTCTTGTCGCAAACAGGTTCCGGAGAACCTAACATCGATAGTTTAGAGGTAAATCCATATCAAACTAAGAAGCAGAGACAAGAAACCGAAGTTCATAGCCTTCTGGATAAGGTAATTAGTTCTTTTCGTAGTTGACAAATAATTTTAATCTGATCGTTTATTACCTAAATTCAACCTATTTTATTATTTTTTTTAGATACAACCTGAAATGATTACATTAGACCCCACATTTATTGGCAAAGTTGACAAAACTTCAAAGGAATTACTATCAAAAGAAGAGGTAATTACCATTAAATATATTTTCTAATTCGATAAGCTTTTTTATTCTCATGTAATGTTGATTAGGAGGAGGAAAGAAGCAAAGGCAAAGAAAAATGGGAACCACGATACAAAGCACGTGGTAAAAGCAGTGCATTGAAGAGATACCTTCGTAAGAAACAGAAGAATGTGATTGATGAACGAAGGGTATTAATATTTGTTTCTTTAGCAACCTATTTGAATCAATTCACCACACTTCAACCTCTCTAAATATTTTTTTTTGTAGATGAAAATTCAACAACAAATTGAACAAGAAAAAGAAGCGCGCAAGAAAAGATTACGTGGCGACATTGAGGATGATAAGACCCCAACAGCTTTGGATAGGTTTACTAACAAAAAGAAAAGGAT